ATCTGCACAGTCTGGGGTATTCAGCCATTTCTTTCCTTTCCCAGTTAAATTTAGATATATAAGTCCCACTGATATAATACACTAATGAAACAGTGAATTTTTTAAATTCAAGGTTGCTATGAGTGAAGAGCCTCAGTTTTTAAACTTTTCGATGATCTGATGCTTTGAACAACAGTCTTATCAGGAATCTCTCTTAGAAGACCGAGAATGTTCATGGGTTGAATTTTATTCCAGTCGCAGATTTAGAAAAGTCAATTGGAAAATAATATTCTCTTTCCTTATGGTGATAAAATAGGAAATATACATATAAGCGCTATCTTGATTTTGTAGGAATCATGCAAATAGAACTAAAAGAGCATCATTTGGGGCTTCATTAAGCATCATTAATAAACAATAATAATAATAAATCCCAATAGTAAATCTCAGGCATGAGAATAAATTTCAAAAAGGAATACTCTCTACTTAAATATAAAATAAATTTTAAAATAAATTTTAAGAACTAAAAGAAAGTAAATAACTACAGTTCTTCACTTATTTGTCACTTAACGTTCCGTGGTTGTAGGCAAATACACTCACATAGCACAGGGTGCTGCCCTGCAAGGCTTCCTTCAATGTGTCAAATACCAACAACATTGAGGCTGACCCTGAAGGCAGGACCATGGGCTGGCATCTGAGCAGACGTGGCAGCCCTGTGCCACTGGGCCCTCTGCTGGCTTAGGTCTGTTTCCTCGTGCTCTTTCTAGACACAGTCCTGCCACCAGCCAACAGCACACCAAAGAGTGAGTGCACATGGGCACCTTGTGAGCCTGGGCTGCAGTGCAGTTGTAAGCACTGGTCTCACTGCCTCCCACCACATGTTTCTATGTGGCATCTCAGAACTTACAGCCAAACAGCAAAGTAGGCCATTAGCTCTGTCTAAAGAAGAATGAACTGAAACCCTTGGCTGGTAAGTGCTGAAACCTATTTTCCACCCTCAGTATATCTTGCCTTCCAACTTGCCAAGCTGCTTCTGCATATCTGCATAACTTGAAAGCTCATAGGCCACATTTCACATTTCAGCACTTCATTATATATCCTTTAAGACTGCCTTTACACTTTTAAGACTGGTCATGATTCACATGACCAGCCTTAAATAAGTCAGTGATGGTCAGTCTTTAGAATACATCAGTCATCTATGTGCTCATTTAAAATACACATTCTTGTTCTTCCTCTCACCCCCCAAATTATGATTTAGTAGGTCTATCTTGGTGCCAAGGAACCTGCATTTTAGCAACTTTCCTCCCTTCCCTTTCCCCTTCCCCTTCCCCATGATACTAATGCAAGTTTCTCTGCAGAAAAACCCTGAATCAGACTAAGTTCTTTGAGGGACAGAACCTTTATATATTGTGTATGGACTAAAGTAGACATCTAGTAAATACTTACCAATATATTTCTATTTCAACTGATATGTTTATTGGTTAAGTTATTAGACACAGATACAGTGCTTTCAGTTGCATATAACAAAAACTCCAACCAAAATGGCTTAAATGTAAGGACATTGATTAGTACACATCAAAAAATCTAGTTTGGTTAATTTGGAGGCTTAACATCATCATCAAGCACCCAGGTGTTTTCTCTCCTTCTTCCCTGCTATCCTCTTTCCCCTCATGAACACAATATGGCTGCAGCAGTTCTAGGCATCACACACAGACATGACAATATCCAGGGAAAAAGAGGGAAATCTTTTCTTGGATATCTCTTCTTAAAGGCAAAGCAAGCTTACCCAGAAGCCCCACAGTAAGTTTCTCCTTGCATCTCATCAGCCAATATTATTTCACATGCTTCTACTAAACCAACTACATCTCAGCCCAGAAAAATGGGCTCACCATGAGTAGCTTGTGCCTCCTCGCCCTGAAGGACATGGGGGACAAGAGGATGGACCAAATCAGGCAGCAGCAGAATGTTAGGAAGGTAATCAACAGTGTCTGCCACACTGGGAACACCTAAGAGAAAACAAATTCTAAATTTTGGGAGGAAGGCAGAATGATTTATAAGTGTCTGTGTAGAATGGAAGACGAGATCACACACTCTTTCACTGGCAAATCCAGGCTGCACATCATCTAGAGGCCAGAAAGAAGCACCAGCTCCAGAAAAATAATGAGCAAATCTGCAGTATCTGCAGTCCACCGCTGGGCTACATGTCACCATCAGCAGGACCTGACATCCTCTTCCCTTCTGCCTGTGACTCATGCACCCAAACCAGCGAAGCACTGTCAGCACATTGGGATTTTAGAGGAATGGATTTTATACACTGGAGGTTGCATTTGGTAATTTTCCAGAAGAAAATTTTTGAGCCAAATGAGTGGTTGTTGGAATATGACTAATGAAACCCTTAGCTAAGCCTTCTCCGCTCCTCAGATGCACAGGTGATAGGAAAGATAAATCTCACCCAGGCTGAAGCTATTTTATACCATTTGAGAGAGGAAACTGTAAACCTTAAGGCTTTAGCAACTTTTAGCTGTGAGGAATCACTTTTTCCTCCATTTTTCTAATAACTGAGCCTTAAGGGAACAGTCTGGCCAGAGCAATCAGTCAGTCAGTCAACAAATATTTAATGACCACCTAGTATGTGTCAGGCACTCTTCTCAGTGTTGAGGACATGGTAGAGAACAAGTCAGATAACGTGCCTGCCCACAGGGAGCTTTCATTCCAGTGATGGAGGGCAGAAAATAAACACAAACAAGTAAATAAGATGATTTTAGGCAATGCCAGATATTATGGAGAAGATGAAATGGGGTATTATGACAGAAAGTTACTCCGTAGAAGGTTTATCTCAGGAGGGGATATCGGAGTTGGTACCTAAAGAATGGGAAGGAGGAAGCCAAGAAGAGACTGTTGGGAAGAGCATTTCAAGCAGAAGGAAGAGCAATTGCCAAGGCTCTGAGCTAGGAACTGCCTGGCGTGTCTGACGAACAGAAAGAAGGCCTGTGTGGTTGAATGAGTGAATGGAGGGAAGAGTGGGAGGAGATGAGGTTGGAAAAGAGAGGATGGATAAGGCACCAGAGGGTTTTAAGTAGGCAAGTGCTACACTTTAAGAGAGAGACCACTCTAGCTGCGGGTGGGAGGATGCACTCTTCGTGAGAAGGCAAAACTAGAGGAGATAATGGTGACCAGGGCCAAGAAACGAAGAAAGAACTAAGGAGAGAGTGGCTATGGATCCTGGAGACACCTCTATGTGTCATTTCTACTGCCACTCTATGAGGTCACATCAGTATCATCAATCAAAGTGTGTCCCCTGCTTCTGCTTATTATCTCTTGGAATAATAGGATAATAATGATGGGAGTAAAGGTTAACATGTAATTTTGGAGTCAGACAGACATGAGTTTCGAATTCTGACCCTGGCATCTCCAAGTTTTGTGACTGCCCCTTTTACTGCCTGGTAGATTTCCTCAATCTGCTCTCCCAAATCACTAATTCATTCTTCAACTATGTCCTCTGTCATAGTTATATCATCTTTTATGTTTCCTTATTTTAACTATTATATTTTTCATGCCTAATATTTCTCCTTGTTTATTTCTGGTTTTCTAGGTTTTGTTTTCATTTTGCTAATGTCTTCCTATATCTTCACTATTAAGTCCTTTATTAGCCTTTTAAAAATTTCAGGTTGCATATATTTTAGTACTCCTCTTTTGTGGGAATCTGTAATCCAGTGGATTGTTTATTTGTTGGCTAGTTGGTTTTTGAAGACTGTGTTCCTCAAATGTCCTAATACTTTGGCCTGTGAGTTCATCTTTCCCTGAAGATTTCAGCCAGACCCTGGTCGCCAATGAAGTCTTGTCAGCTGCAGTGAACTCAAGAGGGGGGGGTGTGGATGAGCCCCGGGCAGGGAAAACCACAGTCAACCACACCCCATCCTACAGAATAATTTCTCCCACCAGGAAGAAGAAACATTAGATGTTACTGTCCCATCCCTGGGGCATATGGAGGTGGTGACATTTTATAGTATATGGAAAATGCTTTGACTTTGTCTTTTTTCAGAGCTAATCTAAAATAATCAATTATAGGAAAAGATGCCCTTAGCACAGATTGCTAGAGATCTGAAAACTGTTTTGTCCTTAATGCTAAGATTATTTTATTGGGGTATAATTGTTATGTATTAAAATATACAAACCAGAGTATATATCTGGATGGGTTTGGCAAATATAATCAACCATGTGACAATCACCAAATCAAAATATAAAACTTTTTGATGTTTCGGAGAAGACAGTTAGATAACAGTGATACTGCGGCAGTTTTGAAGTGACCACAAATTCTTTGATACTCCATTTTTTAAGAGGTGGAACCTAATTCCCCTCCCCTGGAGTGTAGCCAGAACTTGGTGACTTGCTTCCGGGGAATGGACTAAGCAAAAGTGATGGGTATGACTTCAGAGATCAGGTCAGAAAAATAAGCAAATTAAGTAAAGAAAAAGGCACCACAAAAATTAACTTGTCCTTCCAGAAGTTTACCTGTAAAAGGAAGAGGTAATTTGCTAAGGCCAATAGAAGCTTCAGGATTTCATATGTTTCTTTGTTCTGATACTAAATAGCCCTAGTTGTTGTGTTTTCCTTTTCTAATTCTTTTTTTTTTTACTTTTTATTGAAATTCTGACTCTTTTATCTTTGCCTTTGAGTTATTGTATCTTTCAGCTGTTAGAAAGCAGCCCAGTTCTCAATACAGAGTTATCATGCATTAAATTAACGTGCATCCAACTTGGCTTGTCAGAATGGTGGGTAAAATATAGAACAGTTCCTGCTTGGGAAACATGTAAAATACATTATACAAGATCAAAGCATAGTCAGACCTGCTTCTCAGATGAGACCTAAGCCAAGACTCTAGCCATGCAGGTGTTTCAAGTCCTACTAGACTTCTCCCAGGGGAGAAAACACAGGCGTAGAAGTGAGGATGACAGTTCTGGTTCTGCTTCTGGTCCCTCCAGCTCATGCTTGTAACGTCCCTGGTGTTTCCTTTTCCTGCCCAGGGGTCGTTCTTTTCTTCCTGCCATTCCACACACCCAGAGAAGTCAGCTGGAAGACAGACTCAACAACCAGGAGCGCACCATCACTTTCCTCCTTGAGCAGGCCTTCCGCATCAAGGAGGACATCTCTGCTTGTCTTCAGGGAACCCATGGCTTTCAGAAGGAGGAGTTGCTTGCCAGAAAACTTCTGGAAAACCACATCCAGACCATCACCAGCATCGTCAAAAAACTCAGCCAGAACATTGAGGTAGTTCTTTATTTCCCATATTGCTTGACAAAGATTATCAACAACCAATGTCATTTTTCAATGAGAGAAATGAGTCACTATTGTTTAAGTTGAAACAATTATAATTTTGTTTCCTCAGAGGGAAACAGTCAATATTTCAACTGCTCATTTATGCCAAAAATAGAAGGAAATTCTATTCAGAAAACATTTGTTGAGTGTCTCTTTGTGACAGCAAAGATAATTCTTTAACATTATGTCAGACACTGTGCTAAGGTGCTTATTTTAGTCTAAATCTCTCAGATTCTGTTAATGTAATCATTTCAAACAGGCTTTCATAAGGCAATGGCAATGCTGGTTCATAGGCCCATCATACCCTGACCCCAAAAGTCTCTTTATCCCATCCCCCACCCCTCTCTCCTTCACTCTGGCCACACTGCTCTTCCTAAAACACCCCAAATTTGCTCTGGCCTCAGGGCCTTTGCATGTGCTGTGCGTCATTTTCCCCCAGACACTTTTCTGAAGTGTTCTTCATCCCTTTCAGGGCCCTGCTCAGAAATCACTGTATCAGAGAGAATTTACTTGACATTCCATAAAATAGCCCCTCTCCCCACCCCAACAGTCACAATCTCCCTTAGGCCCTCCATTATTTTTATCTACAACACTTACCACAAACTGCCATGGTCTATATTCATCTATTGTGTTTCTCCTTCTAAAATATAATCTCTGTGAGGGCAACGACTTTGTTCTGTTTACTGCTAAACCTCACACCTAACTGACAACTAACAGGTAGTCAGCACTCTGTAAATATTTCTTGAATAGATGAACAAATGATGTTTTCAGTGTTAAAGGAAAAATGGAGTTTCTGATCAAAAAAGATAATGTTTGGGTTAAACCAAGATAGACAGATTCTTACTACAGGTCTTCCAGAGGTCTTAAAGTGCTAATGAGCCTGATGAATCTGGGGTGGCATCTTTCAGGCAAATGTTCCAGAGAATTTAAAAATCTGGTCCAAAATGGATGGAATTATGAGAACTGGCAACAGTGCCCTCACACAATACATATCCTTTCCTATTATCAGATAGAATAGTGGATTAGGCCAAACAAACATCATGAGATTGACCCAGCAATGACTTCCTCATGACTTTGTATTTAACGCTAAGGATTTTTGTTAATTTATAATCAATCTGTAAACTCCATAATGCATTTGAGGGAGTGTGGAAAGCTTCAAAATCTTAGTGAACTTTTAAGAGGCACTTTGTTGGTATTTAGCACATACTGAGTTGATCTCAGTGCCTAAACAGTCAATGCCACCTCTCAAATTTGTCAAAGGTGTTTCCAGGCACAATAACCTGTCATGAATGTAACAAGAGATATGTGGCTCAGTGCCTCTGAGATGATGAGAAAATCAAGTATAGCACTGGCACTAAAACAAGATCCTAATTTAGGAGTCAAAATGTCTTGATAATTGAAAAGAGAACAGAATTCTCAGAAATGTCACAATGCTTCTAGAATGTGCTACATTTTGATTTGGGTGGTTGTTACGTATTTGATTGTATTTGTCAAAATCCATCCAGATATATACATTGATTTATATATTTTAATACATATCAATTATTCCCCAAAGAAATACTCTTAGCATTAAAGGAAAATATGTTTCAGATCTCTAGAAACCTTGCTAAGAGCTTTTCCTATAATACTCGATTATCTCAGATTAGCTCTGAAAAAAGACAAAACCAAAACATTTTCCAAATACTATAAAAGTCTCAAAATACTTGCAATCCTGTTAAGGGTTTGGCATATATAGGGAAAATGACAAGGACTAGCTTAATTGCTCAGAAAACTGAATTAGCAGATATTTAAAGCCTGTAGTTAACAGAGTTAAAACATTAAAAGAAGCAACTGTTACACTACCTTCAGTAAATAACCAAGACTATAAAGTAATAAGCACTTTATAGAGAAATTAATCCTATTCAAGTATTTTTTAAAGACCTAAACTCATTAACCAGATCAGCTCATTTGAAAATTGGCCAGCAAGATAGATCCAAGTGTGAGCTGAAGCTTGATTTGGGTCTTTAAAAGAATTGGAAAAAAAAAAAACCCTATCTTTTAATCAACCACAATTACAGCAGTTAAATTGCTTGCTCCTTCTTAAAATCAAAATATTTCATTTTTAAGATGGCAGCTTAAAATTAATTTAAATTTGAGTTTTTTTAATTAATTTATTTTTAATTCAAGAAAAGATAATTTTACATACAACATTGTGTTATTGTGGTTTTTTCCCCAACTTTCAAAAGCAATACTTGTTCACTGCAATTATTTCAAAAATTTAGGGAAAAATAAATGTTTTTAATCCAGGAAAAAATTTCTCACAATTCCATCACCAAATGGCAAATTCTACAAACACCCAGCTGCATCTCCCTCTGGTCTTTCCAGGCATTCCCTTTAGGAAACTAAGAATACATTTTAATATAAAATTATATCATTAAACTCTTTTACATGTCATTAAAAGCTCTTTGTATAGTACATATACCATGATTTGCTTAAGTATTCTCCTGATACTGAAATATCTTTCTGCCATAAATATGTGTCTGCATTTAGATTATTTACATAGTAAATGTTCTTGGAAATGGAATTAACAGGTTACAAATACTCTGAAAGTTCTTGGTACATACTGCCAAACTGATTTCCAGAAAGCTTATACTTATTTACACTTCCATTAGCATTATATAAGAGTGCTTTATTGTTTTAATCATTGCTGATTTGGTGGGAAAGAAATGAGGTCTTTCTCTTTGTTTCATTTTTTAAAAGTGGTCATAATTTGTATTTTCTCTGTCAATAATCTGTTAATACCTTTGCCAATGTATCTTTTGGGGTTTTAGTGCCTTTTAATTTTTATTGATGAGCTTTTTTATTAAGAATCATAACCAGTGATGTGTTCATAAATGTTTAACAATCAGCAATCAGTTTTTTCCTGGGGGATAAAAACCTAGTTTATAGTATTTGCCCATTTCTCTGGTGTAAATACTCTCACTATGATTGATATCAAAAACGAACTGAACTTACTGGACACAAACATAGGAAGAGATATATATGCACAATCAGCTCTCACGAACAGGTACACATTGACTCAAGCATATCACTGAAAATCTTGGCAGTAACATTTGTTACAAATGTTTTTCCCAGTTTGTTGTTTAGACCTTAATTATATTTACAATGTTTTTTACAAGTTTTGTGCAAAGTTAAATGTTCCAATGTTTTCCTTTGTGATTTCTCTCATTACTTTTAGAAACAGAAATTTCTTTCAGCAATTTCAGGGATGAAATAACCTCCTCTACTATCTGTTAGTTTTATGGCTTAATTTTTTATTTCTATTTTAAATCTATTTTTTCTAAAATCTATATTGATGTATGACATGATGTAAGGATCTAAATGGATTGTCTTCTGAATAACTAACCAGAAATCCCAACACCATTTGTGAAATTCCTCCCTCACTGAATTTGAGTCTCATATATAGTATATTTCTTTCTTACATTTACCAAGATCTTCTTTAAATTACATTGATCTATTTAGTTATACACAGCTATTTAGCTACACTCATTTGCTTATTCTTGTTTTATAATATGCATTAGTATTTAATAGGGCAAGTTCCCTTTTATCACTATTCTTTACCAACATGAAGCAAAACAACATCTACTGCCCTGGTCTGAATGTCTGTGTCCCCACCAAAATTCATATGTGAAATCCTAATGCCCAATGTGATGGCATTAGGAGGTGGGGCTTTGGAGAGGTACTTGGGTCATGAGAGTGGAGTCTTCATGAATGGGATTAATGCCCTCATAAAGAGATCTCACAGAGCTTCCTGGCCCCGCCTACTCTGTGAAGACACCGCAAGAAGTCTGCAACCCAGAGGAGGGCTCTTCCTGGAATCCAACCAGGCTGGCACCCTGATCATGGACTTCCAGCCTCTAGAACTGTGAGAAATAAATCTCTGTTGTTTATAAGCTGCCCTGTTTGTGGTATTTGGTTACAGTGGCCCAAATGGAGTAGAACACCTACATGCATGCAAAAATGAACAAGCAAACTGAAATAGAACAAAACAAAACCTCTAGCTAGTGTTTTTGACACTTTTGTTATCTTCAATTAAAGTTATATTTGCTCTTGAGTTGTCTCAATCTGCAGTTTACATGTGGGCAAGATTCTGAACATAGTCTCTGAAATTTCTATAATTCATTTGCTATAAAAATCCTTCTGTTTCTCCAAAAATTCATAATCATAAATTTAACATGATTCAGGCTTTGGTCAAATATAACAACCAAACCTAATGTTTCCCCAAATCACAAATTTGTTTCTGTTTTCCAAAGTCCTATATTCTCAACACTTTTCTCAGTAAACATAAATTACTTTTTATATGACTTAACTTTATACTGGAATTTGTTTGCATATCAAGCAAGATATAATTTTTTCCTTACACATGCAAAATTTTTTCATTTTTATAAATGATAAGTGCCAAAGTTGGGGACCACCAACCTGGTGGTATAGGACTGTCAGCTTCATTTCAGAACACCAAGATATAATGAAGACATGACTAAGGATACTCAGGGCAAAATCTGAATAGCCATCAATCTCTCTTGTGCTCTAAAAACTCTAGAATAAGCCTTTCCCACTCATTCCATGTGTGTCAAAGAGTTTGATTCAGATTTGCTTGTGTTATATTAGCTTCACTGTGGTTCTGATTCAAACTGTAAATGTCCTTGCCTGATGCCACATGAAGGTTCCCTTTTCCTAAACTTAGCACCAGTTCTGAAATGGGTTTTTATGAAAAGCTTTTACATCAATGATGGCCATAGCCATAACAGCAGAGTAAATATGTTTTGTTTGGCTCATATAGTGTTTATAAAAGAATTTGAATAAGATGTCAATATTTTAAAATTGAGAAATTTAACATTAAGTCTGGATTTCTGGCTTCTGTTGAAACACTGTTGAACCATCATTCCCACCTGGGAACAACCAGCCGGAATCCCACCATCACTGCCCCCCTCAGCTAAAGCAGGGCTGGTTCTCTCCAACACAGGACCCTCTCACTCAAATACATCATCAGCCTAACTAGGAAATGCACTCAATTCATAACTTCTGCTATAAATGATATTTTCTTATCACATATGATGGGAGCTTAATGGGAATTTTAACTCAAAACTTGCAGATGTTAGAAGACCAAATAAGAGTTCGAGACCAGGTGGCCACAGGAACTAATTTTGCAGTACAGGACCTAAACACCAAACATCTTCAAGGAGTTGGAGATCTTCGAGGAAGAGTTGCCAGGTGAGAAGTGTATTAACTAATGTCCAGCAATCAGTTGTTGGCCCCTGAATTCTCATTCCTAAATTAGTCACATAATGTGGAAAACAAGATATCGTCTTTAAGCTAAATGATGAGATGGTATCTGAGAAAGTGTATCCTGGAATTTGAAAGCCTCATGCTACCTGTGAGATCCAAGTGTTCTATAGACCTTCCAGAACTTCCAGTGTGGTTCCATCTGCAAGTGACAAGAGTCTTGTCTTCACAGCCCTCAACTGTCCAAATGCCAACATGCCCATATAACCACATACAAAATCCCCAGATGTGTCAAATTCTAACGACTGAAACATTTACGATATACAAGATTCCATATAAATGCCTAACAAAAGGGATTTAATTGCCAAATGAATAAAATTTTGAGAAACATCTTTTGTATAAGATTTCTATATCAAAAGAACGATATACAGTTCAGCAAAAACCTGTAGGTATTGACAATGGCAGGACCACTCTTACAGACATCTCAGAGATGACTTGTAAATGACTGACCATGGATGCCCTTCCATCTCAACATCTTCTGCCAGCATCTCTTTCCTCTCTCCTAAAATACCCCCACTTTCATCTAGTTAATCTGCTCTGAAGTGTTCACGACCAAATAACTATTGGGTGATTAACACCTAAGAGAAACTTCTCCTGGGATATCCATGTATTCAGTTCAACAAAAAATGCATCGAGTACTTACCATATGCCAGGCAGTGCACTAGGATTCAGGGATCCAGCAACATGGTCTCTTTCCAATAGCTACTCACAGTGTACCTAGGAGAATATAAGCAACGAGGTGAGCACTTAATGAGAGCCTGGGGTGCTCTGGAAAATATCAAAATTGGGGCGTAAGAATGACTTCCTGGAAGAGGTGACACTTCAGATGAGTTTTCAAAGATTTGTAGCAATTGGCTAGACAACAAAGGGTAGGAAGGACACTTCACATGGGAGGAATGATATGTGCAAAAGAACTGAGGGTTAAATTACTGTGACATGTTCAGGACCTCCCTGTGAGAGGAGTATGTTTATGGCATTTTGGGTTTGCATTTAGGAGAGATGAGAGATTGGAAGATGAAGCTAGAAAAATGGGCCAGAGTTGGATGATGAGGGATCTTTGGCCAAAGTAAAAAGTTTGAACGTTTTGTAGAAGGTTATAAATAGCCAGGGAAGATTTTAAGTAAGGGGACAACATTTAGTGACATTCTAATAGTAGCTGAATTGGTGGGGTACAGAAAGAAGGCATGGAGATGAAAGGAAGCCTATTGCAGTCATCGAAGTGAGAAGTGTCAGGGGCCAAAACTAAAGCACTAGCCATGCAAGTCTACAGCACGTAAGAGACATTAGGAAAACAGAATCTACAGGATTAGTATCTGTGTGTGTGCACACAGATATATATACACACACATACATGCTCATATGTATAATTATTTATATTAAGTATAAACATATTTTATACTTCTAAAGTACATAAAATTATATACATTATATAAGATTTGATATCTAGAAAAGAATTTTTACAATATTTGGTTATGTTATGAAGCAAGATAATAAAACACCAGCAAACCCACCACCCTACTCAGCTGTGCCATGATTTTAGAAAGACAGACACCAAAAATCTCTTTTGAATGAAACTTGGAATTTGGTTTAATTTGGTAGCGTGCTTATGACACTTCAACCATTTATTTTTCTGCAAACCACTTATGAATCTATTATTTTATGCTTGTAAATTCTGTCTTCCAAAGGAGACAAAATCACAAACAGATTTAAATGAAGCCAAGAGATGAATGGAATCATATCTAGGAAAAGATGTACAACTCTTTCTTCCCTCCTTCTATTTGTTTCTACTCTTTTTTTGTCTCCTTTTTAAAATTTTTGAATATATTTAAGGTATGCAATCTGATGATTTGATATACATATACATACTAAAATGCTTACTATAGTCAAGCTAATTAACACATCTCCTCACATAGTTACCTTTTTGTGTGTGATGAGAGCACGTGAAATCTGCTCTCTTAGCATATTTTCATTTTTCAGCGCAGCATCACTCACTGCAGTCATCACACCATGCATCAGGTCTCTAGACTTACATAGCCCACATAACTGACACTCTGTACACTTTGACCAGTATCTCTCCATCTCCCCCACCTTCTCACTCTTGATAACCATTGTTCTACTCTCTCCTTTTATGTATTCAACTCTTTTAGATTCCACATATAAATGGGCTCATGTGGTTTTTTTTTTCCTGTGTCTAGCTTATTTCACTTACCATAATGTCCTCCAGGTTTATACATGTTGTCATAAATGGCAACATCTCCTTTTTGAGGCTGAACATTTCCAAGAGACAGAGTGTGTGTGTGCATGTGTGTGTATCACAATTTCTTTACCCTTTCATCCATCAAAGACACTTAGATTATTTCCATATCTTGGTTATTGTGAATATTGCTGCAATGAACATGGGAGTACATATTTCTTCCAAGTATTCATTTCATTTCCTTCAGATACATATCCAGAAAAGAGATTTCTGGATGATATGACAGTTCTATTTTTAATTTTTTAAAGAAGCTTCATACTATTTTCTATAATGGCTGTACCAATTTACATTCCTGTTAACAATGTAGAAGGGTTCCCTTTTCTCCACATCCTCACCAATACTTATCTTTTTTGTTGTTGTTGATAATACTCATCTTAACAGGTATGAGGTGATATCTCATGGTTTTGATTTCCATTTCCCTGATGGTTAGTAACTTAGAGCACATTTTCATGTACCTGTTGGCTGTTTATATGTCATCTTTGGACAAATGTTTATTTAGGTTTTTTGCCCATTTGTTAATCACGTGACCATTCAAAACCCCCTCTTTGTTTTCTGTGGTGAGTGACTCACACATGACCCGTCAGCTCTCAGAGCTAGATGATTTGGGAGACAGTCTCTCAAAGGGCAGCTAGATGTGTGGTCCACACCCTTTGCTCCTTAGGGAGAATCTGGGATTTGGGGGTTCCCTCCCAATCATAAGGTGAGGTACCAGGGATGGGGTTTACGGCATGTGTGCTTCTCAGATTTTTCTACCCATTTTGATGTGAGTGTTTTCTTTGTTGCCCAATGTGTAGGAGTGTCTAAACTAGTTTCTGGATTTTTCCCAGAGGAACTTGATCCACACTTTGCTGTTTGTTTGATGTCTGAGGGAGGAGGGAATATCAAAAGCCCCCATCCCCTCACCTTGCTTTCTGATCACGTACTTACTTCCCCTTTAGTATGAAGCAGTGACTTTAGGACAAGGCCTTATTTTTCCCTGAAATGTCCCTTTTATGAAAATGTCTTTAATCCATGTGGTGAGACAATTTGGCTACAAGTCATGAGACTTACAGTCACCCTTTTCCCCTTTCTGTTTTCTGTATTTTTGCAGGCAAGTGACCAATGGACTAGCTGAGGCAGATTAAATACTGCCTTCCCACATATGTTGACCTTAATTCCAATTAATATTTTGGCATAAGTGAAACTAAGTTGATTATTTTAACGAAATTCCTGGCAAACCTTTTACTGCTTCATGAATCAAACTCAATATTTGATAACAATGGGCTTTGAATTTTACACCTTAATTCCCACCCCAGTATAATGGCAGTTCAGAAGCAAGTACTTCCAAAGAGATGAGTTTCTGAGTTGTCTGGCCTGCATTTGACATTGTCTCTATTCAATAGATTAGTCTCATGTGCAAAAAAGAAAAAGGCAATTACGTCAAGAGCAGCCACACAGATGTCTACAACTTACAGTCTGTAGCAACAGCCAGCAGAGGCCAACCCCCTACCCACGTTTGGCTATTTGGGCCCCCAAGGCATATCTGCATATGAAAAAAACAGAAACAATAAAATCACTTCAAAGGAGACAAAGAGAAACTTCCTTTTGAAATACAGAGTGCAGCTTTGAAAAACCACTAATTCTTGACGTCAGCGTGTGGGGTTAGGCTGGTTGGGTGCAGGGGGTGGGAGGTGGGAGGGTTGGAAATGAATGGATGGTGACTCAAGGTGAGGAAGTAAATACTAGCTGCTGATCCTGGGTGGGTGCTTCCTCTGTGCCAGGTACTGGCTGAACGCTGAGCATTCACCGCCTTTTATCCTTAAATAAACCTGGGCAGGACCACTCTTCACTCAAGCACACGGCACTCCAGGAGACACTGTTCACATTGTCCCCCGTGTGTCTGCCGGCCCCTGGGTTGTGTGGGGGACAAATTGTGCAGCTATATGTAGTGATCTCAGCATCATTACCCCCTTTTCTCAGATAAGGAAAACTGAAACTTACAGATGATAAGAAAATTGTCCCAGATCACAAACCTAGGAAGCAATAGAAGCCGGATTGAAAGCCTAGTCTATCTGACACCAGAGACCAAATCTCAACCACTAATCTACAATGCATACACCAGCCGTCACCTGTCCCTGAGAAGGGGAACAGGTGGG